TTGGGTATGGAAATCTGTCTTACCCTACAGGAAAATAGGGGGGAAAGGGGACAAGAGAGCAGGGGGATGATAGAGAGGAGGGCAGATTGGGAAAGGGGTTAATCAGAAGTAAATACTTCTGAGGAGAGACAGGATCAAAAGAAAGAATAGAATAAATGGGAGGGCAGGATAGGATTAAGGGAAATAGAGTTAGTTTTTCACAACATGTCTACTATGGAAGTGTTTTGCATAACTGCATTTCAATGAGGGTGGGTGGGGAGGGAGGAAGAGAGAAAATTTGAAACCTAAAGTTTTAAAAACATGTTTTAAAAAAATGTTTTCACGTGCTACTGGGAAATAAATATAGGAAAAGGGGTACAGAAGTCTATCCTGCCCTACAGGAAAATAGAAGGGGAAGGGGATAAGAGAAGGGGAGAGAGATAGAAGAGAGGACAGAGTAGGGGAAGGGATATTCAGAATGCATGCCATCTTGGGGTGAGGGGAGAGGGGAGATGGGGTAAAAATTTGGAGCTCAAAAACTTGTGGAAGTGAATGTTGAAAACTAAAAATAAATAAATTTATATTTAAAAAAAAGTCTGGAGGAATAGAACATGAGATTTCACCTTCCTTTCTTCAGTGTTGCATAATGGGAAGAGCACTAGAGCCCAGAGGTCTGTGTAGCTAATCGCACTTGGTCCCACGGTCCCTTCTTTGGGTCTCAATTTCCTCATTTGTAAAATGAATTGGTTCTTTTGTCCAATACTTATTTTCTCTCTTCAATGCAGATCAACACTAGTTCTTCAACTTCTGGTCTTAAAGAATTGACAGACATTGAGCCTGCATCAATGAATGAGTGATCAAATCATTTATTAAGCATTTACTATGTATCACAAGCAGGACTAGAACCCAAGTGTGCTTAAGACTTTGCACACCAAAAACTTGTAAATGTTTGCTGATTTACTGACCAAATAAGCAAAAAATCTTCGTTTAACTGGGTTGTTGTTTCTCTCTCCCCCTCTCACTTGCTCTCTCACTGTAGCTCTGGTTCTTACAAAGAGGCTAATGACTAACAAAGAAAAAGGAAGAGAGAAAGGAAATGAAGAAGAGAGAAAGGAAGGGAGGGAGGAAGGAAGTAGGGAGTGAGGGAGGGAAGGAAGGAAGGAAGGAAGAAGAAAAAGGGAAGAAGGGAGGAGAGGGAGAGAAGGAAAGGAAGGGGAGGAAAGGAGAGAAGAGAAAGAAGGAAAGGAGAAAGGAAAGGAAGAGAAGGATTGATTGTTGCCCTTCATGCTTGAACAGGATCAAAACAACATCGCTATGCTGGGGTCAGTGCACATTGTGTCCTACTCAGGCTGATCAGATCATTACAAGCTCAGAAGGTTCTACCACAGGTCAGGCAAAGAGTCTATATGAACATTTGGAATGGAGCTGTCTCTAAATTTGAGCATCTCACATTTCTTTTGAGCTACTTCAATTCTACTTTGCTCATAGAGCATAGGACCTTCTTTGATGTGGGCATATCATGCTGGACAGTCCTGTGCCAGCGTCTCCTGTGTCTCACAATTGATTCCAAAGTTCTTCATGGAGACCTTGAGAATGTCCTTACCTCTGTGTGAATGCTTGCCTTGTGTGAGTTCTCTAAAATAGTCTTTTAGGCAAAGGTGCATTTTGTCAAACATGGCTAGCCCATTGAAGTTGTGCTCTCTGCAGGAGGGTTTGAATACTTTGCAGTTCAGCTTGAGAAAGGACCTCAGTGTCCAGTACCTTATCTTACCAGATGATCTTCAGAATCTTCCTAAGACAATTCAAATGGAAGTGATTCAGTTTCCTGGCATGGCGCTGGTAGACTGTCCAGGTTTCACAGGCATACAACAATGAGGGCAGCACAATGGCCCTGTAGACCCTTCAGTCTGGTAGGTAGCCTAATGCCTCTTCTCTCCCACCCTTTCCTTCAGAGCCTCTCAAACACTGAGCTAGCTCTGGCAATGCACGCATAAACCTCATCATCTATATGTACATCCCTGGAAAGTATGCTGCCAAGGTAAGTGAACTTATCCACAGAATTCAAAATTTCTTTATTTGCAGTAACCAATGGTTCCATGTATGGATGGTATGATGGAGAACCTCTGTTTTCTTGGTGTTAATTGTTAGGCCAAACTTAGCACAAGCAGCAGAGAATTGATCCATACTATTGTGTCTCAGTGTCAGAGGCTGCACTGAGTACACAATCATCTGTGAACAGAAAGTCATACACCAACTATCCCTCTACTTTAGTCTTGGCTTGTAGTCTTTTCAAGTTCACTAATTCACCCTCAGTGTGGTAGCTAACCTTGATGGGTTTCAATCTTCACTGAAGGCATCTGACAACACTGCTGAAAATATCCTGCTAAAAAACACAGGAGCAAGCACACAGCCCTGCTTTGCTCCACTGGTTACTGGGAAAACACAAGAGCATCATCCAGAAACCACGCAAGCATGCCATCATGAAGCCAGCGTACAATTTTGATGAACTTCTCAGGGAAACCAAGTTTTTCCAGGATCTTCCACAAGCCTTCGTGACTGATGGTATCAAGGGCCTTGGTCAGATCAACAGATGTTGTGTACAGGCCTCCATTATGCTCCTGGCATTGCCCTGGAGTTGTCAGGCAGCAAACACAGTATCAGCCATTCCTCAGCCTTTTCTGAAGCCACGCTGGCTTTCAGGTGGATGACCATTCTCCAGGTGAAGAATCAGTCTATTAAGGAGGACTCTGGGCAAGAATCTTGTTGGCAATGACTAAGAAACAGACCCCTTTATGATTGTCCGAGGACAACCTATTTCCTTTTCTTTTATAGAGATGGACGATGGAGGCATCCTAGAACTCCTGGGGGATAACCTCCTCTTGCCATATAACCTGGAAGATTCCAGTCAGTTTTTGTATGAGCAATGGACCCCCTGCCTTGTAAATCTCAGCTTCAATAGAATCAATACTGGGCTCTTTGACACCTGAGAGGAGCCTACTGGCATTAAAGACCTCTTTTTCAGTTGAAAGTTCAGCTAGAGAGGGAGTAGATGAGGTAGATGGTCAGTGACGTCAGCACTGGTTGATGGTGGTCTCTCCAGAACGTCACGGAAGTGTTCAGCCCGTCTCTCTAGGCCCACGTTCTTAATTCTAATCGATGTGGCTCCTTCAAGAGCCTCTCAGTTTGAGTGGTTGAGAGGCACCACAAATGGACTTCAGGGCATCAATAAAGTGCTTTGGATTGTTACTATCAGCATAAAACTGAATTTTATCTGCCTTTTTACTGAGCCAAGAATCCTGATCTCTCTAAGCTTCCCTTGCACTTTAGGTTTAATGGAGTTAAATGCTGCCTTTTTTGAGACAGATGAACTATCCTGCTGGTAAACCCTGTGGAGTTCTGGTTTTTCACTTAGCAGCTTCTGGATTTCCCTTTAATTTTTGTCAAAAATAATCTTGATGTTTGCAGGTGCTCTGGCCTGGATGAGTAAATGTGATACTGTACACCCAGTCTTTAAAAGCTGCCCACTCCTCTTCTGCTCCACTGTTGCCAGCCATGTGTTGGCTCGGCTTTCTCTCCAACTTAGCAACACGCTGTTCGTGCATGGAGAAATTATCTAATCCGTTGACATTAAGTCTTCTGGTAGTCATCTTGCCTTGGGGCTTTTGCTTTTGTTGAATGTAAATATTTAGCTTGAAGAGGATAAGTCTATGCTCAGTCCAGCACTCTGTGCCATATGTTTGCCTCACATCTGTCTATTCTCCTAACAGTGACATAGCCTATTAAATGCCAGTGTTTGCTGTGAAAGTGCATTCCATGAAGTTCTGTTGCATTTAGGTAAACAGAAGACAGAGAAGATCATGAGATGCATGAGTTTTCAGTAGTAAGTGACCTTTGCTGTTGCTGTTTCCAGCTTCATTCTTCCCAAGGACTCCCTGCCATGTCTGATAGGCCATGTTTATTCTGGCATACTGGTTGGGTTTTTATCAATTTAATACTCTAGAGTTAGGGATATGGGTCAAAGGCATCTTCCTGTAATCTATGAGAGGCAGTGGGGCACAATGGATAGGGGCTAGATGTAGAATCAGGAAAGCCGAGCTTGGAATCCAGACTTACACACCTACGAGCTAAGTGATGCTAAGGAAGCCTCTCTGACTTTCAATTTCCATATGTGTGTTGTTATTCAGTTTTTTCAGTCATGTCCAATCCTCTGTGACCCCATTTGGGGTTTTCTTGGCAGAAATACTGGAGTGGTTTGACATTTCCTTCCCCAGCTCATTTTACAGATGAAGAAACAGAGGCAAACAGGTTGAAGTGACTTGCCCAAGATCACGTAGGCAGTAAGGGTCTGAGGCTTGATTTGAACTCAGGTCTTCCTGACTCCAGGCCCCTGTACTACCAAGGATAATAATAGTCCCCACCCTCACAAGGCTGGTGTGAGGATCAAATGAGGTAGTAGATATGAAGATCTTTGCAAATCTTCAACCTCTATATAAATGCTAGTCATTCTGATGATGATTCCATTATTATTAGCATTGTCAGATTTTTATTTTAGGTTAATGATGTTAATATTAGCTTGAGAGGCATCTTGGTGAGGTGGCTAGAAGGGTGACCTCAGAATCTAAAAAAGCCCTACCTCTGACACATACTTCCTATGTGACTCCAGGAAAGTCATTTAACCTCTGTGTCTCAGTTTCCTTATCTGTAAAATAGGGATAGTAACAGCACCTACTTCCCAGGGTGGTTGTGTGAATACAATGAAATAATACTTGCAAAGCACTTCATATATCTTAAAGCACCATATAAATGCTAGCTATTATTTCAGACATGGATTATAGATCTAGAGCTGGCCATCTCGTTCACACCCTCTGATTTTCCAGATGGGGAAACTGAGGCCAAGCTGAATGACTTGTTCAAGATCATGGAGATAGTAAACATCAGAGGTGAGATTTGAACCTAGGATGTCTGACTTCAGAGTTCTTTCCACTATTCATGCTGCTTCCATTAATTCTTTTCTTTTCCAGGTCCTTCTTCCAATTCAGAAAGTATCTTTAGGCGGGATGTACCTTCTGGCACCATGAGCAACTTGGCCAAGAGTAACACCGACTTGTACCATCACTACAAGGTGCTGGCCCCCAAGCTGCTGGAGGAAATCGCAAGGCTCCTGATCACCTGCAGGAGCTTGGGCATCGTCATGCCCAGGGGCATGAAAAACATCTTCGAGTTCACATGGGAGGAGCTTATCATGGAGCCCCCCAGCACATCAGCATCCAAGATCTCCGGCCTGGACGTCTGTTTTGGACAGGTCTCTTCTGTGGAGTTGTCTTTTTCTGCCGCCTCCAGGAAGCCCATGACCAAGAACTCACCATCGCCCCCAGCCTTCATCCAACCGATGCCCAACAGTTATCGGGTCCTCCAAAAATTCCAAAAGAAGTCGCTCCACCTGCTGTCTGAACTCCTCTCCCTGAAACTGAAGATGATGACAGAGTCCTCGGCAGGTGAGCCTGCCGCGGTCCCCCAGCATGCCCTCTAGGCAAGGTTTAGGTTACCTAGCTCAAACCATGCATTTTATAGATAAAAAAAAAAAACCAAAACTGAGGCTTAGGGTAAGCAACTTATCCAAGGCTGACTGCTCTAACCACTACACTATTCTGCCCCTCTGCTGGAAAAGTTTGGGCCCTCATATTCATTGCACAGCCAGTCTCTCTACTCTGGAGTCAGATCCCACTTGCGACAAATCATTTCACTTTCCTCATCTGTGAAATGAGAGAGTATGAACAATTGTGGTTCTTCTTGGGGGAGGGGGAGATCCTTCTCCGCTTTGGAGCATATCTACCACTTTCTCTTCCTGCCCTCCCTTCTTTTATTCCTTTTTCTTCTTCCCTTCCCCAATACCCCCCCTCCCTCACAAGCGCAAGGTAGCTGATGAAGAAGTGAGCAAACCCAGTCCAGATTTATGAGAGAGAAGACTAGCCCAATTCATTTTTCCTTTACCTTAAGCCCTGCCCGCCACTTTTCCATGGTCCATACCTGGAAGAGCTAGTGGGGGAGAGGATATATAGGCACAGCAACACCAGGAGACTGGCCAAATTAAGAGTCCTAATTGAGTGGCTACTTCCCGGATTTCCCCTCTGCTAGTGCCTCTCCTTTGCTCTTTCTCTTTAAAAAACAAATGGTTTATTCAATCAATTAACATCAAGCATTTATTATGTGCCTCCTATGTGCCAGGCACTGTGTTAGGCACCAGGGTTCAAAGACAGAGATGAAACTTTCCCTGCCCTCTTACTGATGTAGTTGGTTTTTGCAGCCCTTGTTTCTGGAAATACCTTCCCTACTCTGCCCTCTCCACTTCTACCACTGAGTCCTTCCTTATAACAGAGAAAAATACTTCCATGAAAAATACCTGATAGAATGGCTTCCTTTGGTCAGTGGATTCAACACTGTGACCTAGTATGGCCCACCTCTTTGCTGAAAGGAGGGAGGTACATTTCATTATCTGTTTATCGTTCCCCCTACTGTTTGTAGAGAGCAAAATATAAGGCATGACAAGGTGAATGAGCCAGAGTCCTACCATGTAATGGGAGATAAGGCATGGACCCAAAATGGCGGACACTATGCGAGTGCTGGCTGTTCTTTTCTAAGGAGCCCCCTCAGAGCCCTGTGCCTCCACTTCCCCCAGACCTCCAAACTTATCCTGTCTACTCATTTCCAGGGCTGTTTCACCTGGTTCACTGGTATATTGCAGGGAGAAAAATAATTCTTCTTTATTCATTTACAGGTTCAAGCCCCATGGATGTTTCAAAGCAGTTTGTTAAAGCCAGCCAACAATTGCATCTCAAGGCCAAGGAGATAATTTTAGAGTCTATTCTGGACACAGTTGGACTGGGGAAAGGAGGTTTGGCAAGATAATTCAATCCCAACTTCCAGAGGGAAGGGAGGAACCCAATACCACCTCCATTTAAGGCTATTGAGCTACCAAGTTGTTTTTCTTAAAGAAAGAAGGATGTCTGTCTCCCAAGTGGTCTCAAAGAGGAGGGTGATTTTTTTTTCAGTCATAAACTGAAATTTAGACAGAAATGTAACCTTCTCTCAAATTGAAAGGCCTTTGCCTGAGGTTCCCAGTCTCAATGACATAAATGGAAAATCCTACTGGATGGGTATAGCCGTATCTCAACCCTACATGTAGTCCCCTTAAAAAACTGGGGAACCACTAGCTTTGATGCCAATGGTCAATGGTTTTTATTGTTAACATTCCCCTTTCTGAAAGCATTTTTTCTCTTTTTTAATTGAATTTTATTTTAGACTCAAATATCAGAACACAAATACAAAATAGAGGAAAAAAACATCATAAACTTAAATATTGGAACTTAATTACAAAGTAAGGGGGGGAAAAGCATATCACGGGCATAGCAGAACATAGGAGAGGATTCAAAATATGTAATGATAAATTTTCATTTCAAGAAAGCCTGTATGATAAATGCTACACATTCTGTCCAGAGCTGTCCATCTTTTCTTTGCTTCCTTGTAAATTTTCTTTTGTTCTCTGCGGTGCACTTTTTAAACTTTGTTCTTTTTTTTCCCTTCCCCCCACCTCCCCATTTCTCTATAGTTATAGATATATACATATACATACACATATATAGACATACTTTCCCAAACAAGTAAATTTGTTTTCCCAAACAAATTTTACTCTTGATCTTTGCTTTTTGGTGAGGCAATTGGGATTAAGTGACTTGCCTAGGGTCACACAGCTAGTGACAAGTGTCTGAAGTCACATTTGAACTCAGGGCCTTCTGACTCCAAGGCTGATGCTTTATCCACTGCACCACCCAGCTGCCCCTTGAGCTTTGTTTTTATGTTTGTGCATATCACTTATTTCCTATCCCTCCTGGTTCCTCTACTTTACTTCTTCCTGCTACCTTGCTCTTCTATTACTTAGCCTACCCCACCATGAAGGATCCCTCCCCTATCCTCCCGTTCCCATAAATGTAAGCACCCTACTATAACCCCCTATTACCTATTCCCCCACTCTCCCCTCTAGAGATCCTTCCCTTGTCCTCTCCCTGCTCCCTATTCCCCTACTGTTTTATTTCTTCTAAATTTAGAAGACTTTTATACTCTTCTAAATATATATGTATTGTTCCCTCTTAAATCCATTTCCAATGAAAGTAGATTACCAGAACTACCAGCCCTTCTCCCCCATCTAATTCCCCTGAATCAATTCTTTCTCTTGCACATCATTTGTATGAAATAATTACTCTTTTTAGCTGTTCCTAAATGGTTTTACTTTTTAAAGTCATATCATACTCAGGTCTACCCCAGTCTTTCTTATGAGCTACCCAATTATTAATAAGAATTTTAGACATATGTTTTGCATTTTACATATATAAAAAGTAAACGGTCTGTCCTTATTGAATCCCTTGTAATCAGTCTTCAGTATGTACCTTATGTTTCTCTTGCCTCTTGTATTTCAAATCTTCTATTAAGTTCAAGTTTGTTTTTGTTTTTTAACAAAATCTATCAAATGTCTATTTTTTTTCATTCAGGATCATTCTGACTTTGCTGGGAATGGTATTTTCAGCATGAACCCCAGTTCTTTTGCTCTTGTATATATAATGTTCCAGGACCTGCAGTCCTTTAATGTCCCCACTTGTGTTATCCTTGAGCTGGGGTTTTCAGAATTTGACTACAATATTCCTATGAGTTTTCCTCATAGGATCTTTTTTAAGTAGTGATCGATGGATTTTTTTCTTTCTACTTTCCCCCTTATTCTAAAGCCTCAGAACAATTTTCTTTAATTATTTCTTGTATTACTGTATCAAGATTTTTTTTATCATAGCTTTCAGTTAAACCGATTACTTTCATGTTTTCTCTTCTCGATATATTCTCTAGATCTGTTGTTTTTATTATATGATATTTCATTTTCTCTTCTATTTTTCATTATTCATACTTTGTTTAATTATTTCTTGATCTCTTATAATTTCACTGGCTTTGCCTTGCCCAATTCTAATTTTCAAGGTTATCATTATCTTTCTTGAGATTCTGGATCTCCTTTTCTAATTGGTTGACTTTCCTTTTGTTTTGTCTTCTGTTTTTCTTGGATTATTTTTTTTAAAATTTTTTTAGTTTTTCCTCCATCTCTCTCACCTGACTTTTAAAGTCTTTTTTAAGTTCTGCTACAAATTCTTTTTGGGCAAGTGACCATTTGACGTTACTCTTTGAAATAGAAGGGGGTTTCTTTGCTTCAATATCCTCCTCTGAAGATGAACCTCTGTCTTCTCCATTCCCATAATAGCTTTCTATGGTTGGATTCTTTCTCCTTTGCCTTTGCATTTTTTGTAGTAATAGCTTAATTTTTGAAATCGCCTCTAGCCCTGGGATATGGGGGATGGTGCCTCTTGCTCCAGAACTTCAGTTCTCCCCTCTAGCCTGGAACGAAAGCCAAACCTCCAGCATCCTGGCCACGGGCCTTCTGCCCCACTGCTTCTGCCCTCACGGGGTGTGTGCCGGTTCCTTCTAGCACCACCGCTCTCCACAGCACAGCTGGGTCTGGCGTTCCTGGTCAGCAGAAGTTCCTTCGATCTTCCCCGGGCTCAGACATCTAACTCGCCTCACTACCCCGGGGGTATAAGTTCCTGTAGCTGGGGCAAAGGCAGCCTCCAGAACCAGCTAACCCCAGGGCTTGCTCCTGGTTATTTCAGTGCTCTAGAGGTGTTTACTCTTCACAGCAACCAAACCTTTCCTGGGATTTTTCTTCTGATCTTCTAAATTGTCTCTGGAAGATCCTTGTTGTGCCCCTATTCTTTATTTATTTTTACCCGCATTTTGTTTCCCCTAAGGTACTATTTTGTCTCTCTTGTGGGGGACAATCTTGAGAGCTTGAAATTTTCTGATCTACTCTGCCATCTTCCCAGAATCCTCTCCAAAAGTATTTACTTCTATTTGCAAGGTCATGGCTAATTTTTCCCGGTGATTAGATGTCTAGTTGCTTTCCATTCTTTTTGTAAATTATGCTCATTCTGTGGTTTGATTTCAGAAGGGTCAGTTCACTTGGATGAGGGCGGGGAATTACATCTTTATTTCATATAATGTTTCCTTTGTAATACAATATATTTTATCTAAATGCATTTAAAAACATCATTCTAAGAGGCCGTCTGCAGACTTTTGCTGCCAAAGAAGGGTATGTGGCACACAAAAAGTTAAGACACCCTACTCTAGAAGAACCAGGTTTGGAGAAAGCTAAACTGTAGAAGGGAGAATTTTCCCCAGGCATTTTGCACCTCAAAACATTGGCAATGACTTGAGAGTCCCCCATTACAGGGGAACCTGCTTAATTCGAGTCTTAGAGTTTTCTGTTATAAGACTACGGCACTCCACATGATTCTTGACAATGGAAAAGTATTTTCCATCTGGGGTTTGTACAACAGAGAAATGGAGGGAGGAGAGTGATCAGTGGGCAGGGTGGTACAGTGGGCAATGCATTAGGCTTGGAGTCAGAGTTCTTGGGTTTGAATTCTAGCTCAGTTTATGGCTTGCTAGCTAACTGCCTGATTGGCCTTGGCCAGCTCTTGACCTCAGTTTCTTCATCTATCAAAATGGGACAGTTGACCCAGCTGATCCTCAAAGTCCCTTTCAACGCTCAATGATCCTATGACCTTACAAAAAGTATAATTATTTTCAGAAGGTTCCAAACTGAAAAAAAAAATGAAAAACTAATTTATACCCAGTTGTTAGTGGGTTTGTTTGTTTTTTACCAAAACATCTCATCTGTCTGTATAGTGATTTACATCTGCATTTGGACCTAAAATTGTAATGGCATCTGAATTGTTCTTCTTTTAAAGCCTCTATCGGGATGTGCTATTTGGCCCTGAATAATATGTTCATTTTTAAAACAACAGCAACTAGCATTAGCTGTTGCTCCAAATTCCTTACTCATTACAAGGGATGCTTCCTCCCTGCTCTCCTTTTCTTCTGTACTGTATAGCCTTAGCAGTTCACATATGAACTTATAAGCATTTCATTGTGATTCTCCAAGAAGCTCAGGATATCTGCCCAGTGAATTTGCACTTTCCCTAAACCTATTTTCTTGGAACCATAGAGTAAGCAGTGAGATCTAAGGTAAATTGTTCATCCAAGCTAAAGGGACCGAAATATAATGCAAGAGGAATAATTTTTAGAAGTGGAATTATAGCCACAGCAGGGTAACTAATGTTTTATCCCAGGATGCCCATATCTAGACATTGTGAATAGCATTTACAATCTTCGACAGCATAGAAACAGCTGCATTTAAGTAGTTGGCCAGAAAATTTAGTTGAAATAGAAAGTTGCCAGATGGCATGTTTTTTTTTCCTCTCTCAATCTCTCCTTCCCCATTATCTTTCCCTCTTATAGACTGTCAGAGGCACCACCACTCTTCCAGTCCCCCAGGTTTATAACTTAGGCAATATTCTTGGTTTCCCTACTTCAAGTCTCTCTCTGGAGTCCCTTCTCCATAGCCAGTCCTTCTCCAAAAGCTGCCAAAATGATTTTCTGAGAGTGAAAATCTGACCCTGTCCCTCCCCTACTCAATCAAGTTCAGTAGCTCCCTGTTACCTCTAGGATCAAATAGAAAATCCTCTTTAGCTTTTAAAACCTTTCACAACCTAGCCCCTTCCTACTTGTCTAGTTGCAGTCACATCGTACAAGAATCCCTCTTTCGCACTACTTTTCGATTTGGTGAAATAGCCTTTCTCTCTCTCTTCCTTACATGACACTCCATCTCCCCCATGGCTAGTTCCCCCATGCCAAGAAAACACTGGCTCCTTACCTTCATCTCACAGAATGCCTCTGTCCCCTCTCAAGACACATGGCAAGCACCACCTTCAGCACAGAGCCTTCTGACCCCCTTCCCCCCACCCTGCCCCACTTGTCCCCTCCCTGATTGCCTGATATTTAAGAACTTTATGTTTATTCTCTCCAACACGAATTTATGGTCTTCACCCGTGAGGGTGCAAACTCCTGATTTACAATAGGGATTCTTTCATTCTTTTTTTTCTGCGAATGCCACGTAGTAGGCACTTACTAGACTGTCATTGTTGTTTGTCCTTCGTTCATCATCAGGAAGGTGAGGCCATGACCTGCAAGGAAAACTGCACCTCTCTGAATGACTTTTATTCTCTGCTTCAGGAAACCAGTCCAACATCTTCACTGCCATAGGGGTGAATTCTCCTTACCAGCTCGTTTTTCAGTCTTCTAATGCCTGTCTGAGTTTTTCACTCTCTGGAGCAAAAGAAAGGAGAGGAAGCGTCTTAAGTAAGTGATATTCCCCCACCCCATTACCAAAACCTTCCAGGTATTTTTTTTTAATAACCACCAAAGACTTTTTTTCCTTCCTTTTTTTAATCTAGAAATGGGAGCACCGATGCTTGATTAGATGGCAATGATTATAGTGTTTTAAAGTTTGTAAAACACTTTACATATTTTATCATGTTCAAATCTCACAGTGACTGGGTAGGTGCTATTGTTGTACCCATTTTATAGACGCAGGAACTCAGCTTGAGAGATAGGCCCAGGGTCTCACTAAGCTAGTGTCTTAAGAGAGATCAGAACTCATTTCTTCTTGACTCCAAATGCAGAGTGCTATCCTTGCTTGACACCATCTATCTCTCAGAGAGAACTTCATGATGGAGGCAGTATAGTACAATGCAAAGGGTGCTGAATTTGGAACCAAGAGAAACTGAGTTCAAATTTCAGTTCTCTCATACACTGCCCGAATGGCCTTGAGCAAGTAATTTCACTTCTCTGGAATCTGACTTTCCTCATCTTTAAATTGAGGGGTTTGTTCTGGATCACCTCCAAGGTACCTTCCAGCTCTAAGCCCATGATCCTGCACATCTCAGCTTCCTCATTCTCTTAGTGCCCTGGGTGTCCAGCCTTTTGTAAATGAGATCCCCTTTTTAGCATCAAACAGTTTTATAGGCACTGATATAATCAGAGTTTTGCTATTTGTATCTGCTTATCATCAAAGAAATGAAGGACAGAAATCTCCTATGGATTCAGTCAGACTTTGAAATGGATTTGTATTTGATTAATCACAATATGTTTATATACAAACAAGAGGAAGCCTTTGTTCGAGCTGTAGAAGTCATGTTTGCATATGTATTACCTTGAGTCATTTGATAAGATAGCCCCCTTGTAGTAACTCCGATCCTGGGGTTGCTCATATTGGTAATATGTCTTCAAGTCATTTCCATCACAAAGGATCATTTTGTTTTCAGTTCCAAAATCTCTCCCTCCTACTTTCACTTGTTGAGAAAGAAAAACAAAACCCAATGCAAATATGTATAGTCAAGCAAAATAAATTCCTGCATTAGCCAGAATTAAAGATTTAAATAGATTCATTTTAAAAGATTTAAATAGACTTATTTAAATAGATTTAAAGGTAGAGTTCCTCCAGGTCACATGGGTAATAATCAACAGAGTCAAAATTTGAACTCAGCTACTCTGATTCTAATATGGCATTCTCTTGGGTGTGTGGGGATGTGGGTCGTGCTGTTCCTCTCACCTGCAACTCATTCCCTCCTTCTCTGTAGGATTACATTTCACTTCTTTCAGGTGTGCAGGCGTCCCCAGTTAAACTGGAAATTGCTTCAAGGCAGGAACCACATTAGTCACTGTTTTTCTTCCCACTCCTTAGTACCTCCCTTTTCATACTCGGTGCCCCAAAAATGTTTAACAATGCACTCACATGAGGCCAATTTTGTCCATTTTACATAAGGAAAACATCGAGGAAGCCCAGGGAATTAATCAAGTTATCTGCCTGGATCCCTTTTCACAATAATAAGATGTTTATCAGGGAGAGAAATTTTTCATAGATAGTATTAGATCATAGACATAAAAATTGGAGAGGCTTGAGAGATGGCATCTAGTCTTTTTCATTCTCATCTTTTTTGGTTGAAACCCCTTTACAGGACCCTTTTATATTCTTTTTTTTTTTAGGGGCGGGGAGGCAATCCAGGTTAAGTGGCTTGCCTGGGGTCACACAGCTAATACACTCTTAATAATAGAGGGATATGTATCTCTCCCCTCTTCCAAGAACTTTTGTTTATAGGAAAATGATAAATGTTGGAGAGGATGTGGGAAAATTGGAACACTAATACATTATTGGTGGAGTTATGAAATGATCCAACCATTTTAGAGAACAATTTGGAACTATGCCCAAAGGGCTACAAAACTGTGCATACCCTTTGATCCAGCAATAGCACTTCTAGGGCTATATCCCAAAGAGGTCAAACAAATGGGAAAAGGACCCACATGTACAAAAATATTCATAGCAGCTCTTTTTGTGGTGGCAAAGAATTGGAAGTTGAGAGGATGCCCATCAATTGGGGAATGGCTGAGCAAGTTGTGGTATATGAATGTAATGGAATACTATTGTGCTATAAGAAATGATGAACAGGCTGACTTCAGAAAACCTGGAAAGACCTATGTGGTCTGATGCTGAGTGAAGTGAGCAGAACCAAGAGGACTTTGTACACAATAACGGCAACGTTATGTGATGACTAATATTGTTAAACTGAACCCTTCTCAGCATTACAAGGATCTAAGACATCTCCAGAGGCCTCGGGATGGAAAATGCTGTCCACATCCAAAGAAAGAACTATGGAAGTCCAATCGCTATCACTTCTTTTTACCTTCTGTTGAGTTTTGTTTCATCTTTCTGATGGTTCCTCCTATTGGTTTTAATTTTTACTTACTACTTCACTAATGTGAAAATATGTTTAATAGGAATGTAAATGTAAAACCTCTATCAGATTGTGTACTGTCTTGGGGAGGGTGGGGGGGGAGGAAGGGGGAGAAAAATTTTCAACTCAAAAGTATATGGAAGTGATTGTTGATAAATCAATAAATTAATAAAATTGGGGAAAAAAAGAACTTTTGTTTATGTGGGTTATGTCTACTGATATTTTCCACAGTAGAAATTAAAACGTCTAGGGGAGGAGTAGGAACCCAGGCTCCTCTTTCAAAAGCGGCAGGCAATGGGTGATGGGCCCAAGGCCAGGGGAGGATGGTCTCTGGAGGACCCTCGAAGCCACTGAGACCCGGCATTTCACCACTGTCCATCCTCAAATGAAGCAAGAGACAGTGTAATGGCAGAGAAGGCACCTGGGGGCATTAGCTCCCTGCGAAGGATGGTGGCATCAGGCACGAGGGCCCTTGTTACCTCCATTTTCATGACCTCATTGGATGTAGTAAATGACTGACTACCGTCCCAGCACCCCAACCAGTGGGCTGGCATAGTCCCAGGGGTCCTGGAGCATTCCCTATACTAAATGGAAGTGTATGCTTACTGCAATGGCATTCTAGAGCCCTTCTGTCTGTGTCAGAATGGTTTTCACTGTGCTGTCTGGGCCCAATATCTCCCCTACTTCACAGGCACCATGGAAGCCTTTATGAAGATTACTTGGCACGAGGGTGCTAGGACCCTGTGGAGTGGCCTCCCTGAAACACTGCCATTTACTTTACTGCCTATGACCAGCTCAAGGCTTTCTTACGCAGCCAAGCTATGGCTTCTGATCTCTACGCATCCGTGGTGGCAGGAGCTATGGCCCAACTGGGCACGGTGACTGTGATCAACCCCCTGCAGTTGGTGAGAACAAAGCTTCAGGCTCAGCATCTGTCTTCCCATGACCTTGGGGCCTGTGTGAGGGCACCTATGTCCCGGGGTGGCTGGCGCTCTCTATGGCTTGGCTGGGGCACCACTGCATTGAAGGAGGTGCCTTTTTCAGCCCAGTCTGTACTGGTTTAACTATGAGTTAGTGAAGATGTGGCTCCGTAAGATGCCAGTCAAGGACCAGACTTTAGTCAGTATCAGCTTTGTAGCTGGAGCTTTCTCAGGACCAGTTACTGCTCTGCTCACGCCGCCTTTTGATGTGGGGAAAACTCAGCATCAGATGGAGCTGGGAAGTGTGGGAGCCTTGAGAGTGACATTCCCATGTTCCCCTTCTACCTGGCTGCTGCTCCAATGAATTCAGGCTGAGTCTGGGGCTAGAGGTATCTTTGCAGGCTTCCTCTCATGGATCATCAAAGAAGCCCTTCCTGTGCCATCATGATCAGCACCTACAGATTTGGCAAAAAAAAAAAATGTTCCAGAGACTGAACCTGGAAAAATGCCCTCAGGGACCCTGAGGGGAGAGTGGGAGAGAGGGATGGAAGATACCAACCTCCAGGGTCTCCTGAGGAGACCAGCCATAGCCCTCAGCAGGAAGAGGGGATTTAGACATGAACTTTCCTTATCGTGGGAGCTATGGAGAAGAGTGTCACCCTCTGTTCTGTGTGGCCCGGAGTGAGTGAGATGCCCGCTTCACCTTCCCTCCTACTTGGCAATACCAGGGCACCATGCAGGGAACAAGACTCCCCTTTTCTTCTACGTTTTCTCCCCACTTTTCTACAGACCAAATGCCCCCAGCTCTTGGTTTACCCCCTTTCATTCCTTAGAAATGCAACCTGCTATTGTCCCTTTGGTTTTTCCTCTGGACATCTATCTCAGCCCCTGGTGCTGCTTTGTCTTAATCTCCCTCCTGTTGAATCCTTTAGATCCAAGGATGATGCTTTGCTATTAAAGAGAGAGAGAGAGAGAGAGAGAGAGAGAGAGAGAGAGAGAGAGAGAGAGAGAGAGAGAGAGAGAGAAAAGAAAACATCTTACTATTATTATGATCCCCTGAAAGGTCCTTGGGGACTACATTTTGCGAAACTCTGATCTAGTCTATCCCTCTTCCCCCCCCACCCCCTGCACCCCTCCCCCCGCCCTTCCCCTCCCCCACACCCCTTATACAAAAGAAGAAACAGATCCATGAATAAGGAATTTACCCAAGGTTTCGTGGTGAGTAGAGCTGGGTTTGAAACCCAGGTTCTCTGACCCCAAATCCAGGGTTTTTTCTACTCCTGCCTCACCTCTGCTTCTTGGAAACCTTTTGTCCCCCTCAAAACTCAAAAGTGAGTGCCTTCCTCTATATAAAACCTTTCCCTATCCCTCCCTCCCAATACCCCTTGCTAGTAGTGCCACTCTGTTATTTTGCATTCCCTTCTCTATATTTTGTCTATACTTACTAATATATATATATATATATATATATATATATATATATACATGTATATATATACATATATGTGTATGTGTGTGTGTGTGTGTGTGTGTATATATACATATATATATATGATGTTTCTAATAGGGAGTAAGCTCCTGGAGGGCAGGGACTGATTCTTTTTCTTTCTTATTCTTTTTTTGTTTTTAATGAGGAAGCTTAGGTAGTACAGTAGATAGAGTTCTGAGATTAGAGTCATGAAGACCTGGGTTCAAATGCAGCTTTAAACACTTACTAGCTGTGTGACCCTGGGCAAGACACTTAACTTCTGTTTGCCTCAGTTTCCTCAACTGTAAAAATGGGGATAATCATAGCACCTGTCTTCCAAGGTCAAGTAAGATAATATTTGTAAATATTATCAAGTAGATATCAAATAAGAAAATATATGTAAAGCGCTTAGCATAGTGCCTTGCACATAGTAGGTGCTATGTAAATGCTAGCTATTATTGTTGCTGGTTTTGTCTGTTTGACCCATAATAAACGCTTATGGATTGATTGATAGTGAATGACTTTTTCTTCCCACTAGACCTAGCCCTCCCTATCTCTGTTGAGTCTTTCTTAGAAATCTTTTCAGTGTTCCTCCCCGACCTGAAATGCCATGGACTGGTAACACAACAGTCACTAGCTACTTCTTTCCTCCCCCAGGTAAACAGAAGTTATCTGTTGTTGATGACTCCACAGGAAGACTTACAGGAAGCAGCAGTAGTGAACCTTTTTTGTTTAATGACCTCTGTCTTCAGGCCCAGGGAAAGCTGCAGGAAATGTGTCGAATTATGTAAGCCTCTTTTTATTTTATTTTATTTTAAAGTCTCTTTCTAGGGAGAGAAAGTGGTGTGGAGGGAGAACTCTTGGGGCCTGAAGAGAGGTGGCTGATGGTATCAAGGTTCTAGTTCCCATACAAAGGCAAAGAGAAGAGGGTCCAGGGAAGGGGACCCCCAGGCCCTGTCCAGCTGCCGAATTGGTACAGGAGAAATAAGGATAGAAGAGCTGTTTAAAGCCAGACAGCTCTGTTTGGAGGCTCCCTGAAACATACCTGACAAAGTAAGATCATAGTTTACCTCCAGCATATCCACCTCCCATCCTTCATTCTGTCCCAGGAGGTAGGAAACGCTTTCAGGAGAGCAACCAGGTCTTCATCCCACACCTCATAGAAAGAAGGCAACTTCTCCAATAAACAGGGCCAGCTCACCCTGTGGAGGAGTGGATCCTAAAAATCACATTATAGAACGAACTATTTTCTAGGGCATTTCGTTGCTATTTTCTAAGCAGCTGTCCTGTGTAGCTAATAGAATCTTGGACTTGGAGTCAGGAAGACCTGAGTTCAAATCCCATCTCAGATACTTAGTAGCTATGTGACCTTGGGCATGTCTTATCAGACTCATAACATACTTTGCAAAACTTAAAGGGCTACTATATAAATACTACCAATTATTATTTATTTTAATTTTCAGTTCCAAATTCTGTCCCCCTCTCCCTCTACCCCATCCTATATGATACCCATAACACATAGAAAATCATGCAAAACATATTTCTACATTAGCCATGTTATGGGGGGAAGGCAAGAAAAATAAAGTAAAAAAAAATATGCTTCATTCTGCATTCAGAGTTCACCAGTTCTCTCTAGAGGTGGATAGCATTTTTTTTTTATCATGAGTCCTTCGGAATCTTTTTGGATCATTGTATTTATTAGAGTAGCTAAGTCTTTCACAATTGATCACTGTTTTAGTATTGCTGTTACAGTGTATAATGTTCTCCTGGTTCTGCTCATTTCACTTTGCTTCTGCTCATATAAATGTTCCCAAGTTTTTCTGTAATCATGCTGCTCATCATTTCTTTTAGCACAACAGTATTCCATCACAATCATATACCACAACTTGTTCACCATTCCCCAATTAATTCCTTCAATTTCTAATCCTTTGCCACCACCACAAAAAGAACTGCCATAAATATTTTGGTACACATGAGTGTTTTTCCTTTTCCTTTGATCTCTTTGGGATACAGACCTAATAGTGGTATTGCTGAGTCAAATTGTATGCACAATTTTATAGCCCTTTGGACATAGTTCCAAATTGTCCTTCAGAATGGTTAGGCCAGTTCATAGCTACCCATCTCCCCACATCCCTCCCAGCATTTATCATTTCCCCTCCTTGCATGTTAGTCAATCTGAGAAAGAGGAATACAAAAGAGGAATACACTGGGAGAAGGGGAGAGGGAGAGGTATAATGGGGCAAATTATCTCCCATAAAAAAGGCATGAAAGAAAGAGCTTTTACAGAGGGAATAACATATACATTCAGTTGGGTATAGAAATCTATCTTGCCCTATAGGGAAGTAGGAGGGGAAGGGGGAAATGGAAGGGGAGGTGATAAAAAAGAGGGCAAATTGGGGAAGGTTGTGGTCAAAAGCAAAACAGACTTTTGAGGAGGGATGGGGGAAGGAGGAGGAGGAGGAAGAAGAGGAAGAGAGAGAGAGAGAGAGAAAGAAAGAGAGAGAGAGAGAGAGAGAGAGAGAGAGAGAGAGAGAGAGAGAGAGAGAGAGAGATGGAGATAGAGAAACAAGGAGAAAATAGGATGGAGGGAGATACACAGTTAGTAGTCATAACTGTGAGTGTGAATGGGATGAACTCATCCATAAAATGGAAATCAATAACACAGAGGATAAAAAAACAATACAACAATATGGTGTTTACCAAAAAACACATTTGAAACAGGAAGACAACACAGAGTAAAAACAAGGGACAGTAGCAAACTGGAGCTTCAGCTGACATAAAACAAGCAGCTGTTCAGTTGTTGTTCAGTCACGTCCAACTCTTTGTGATCCTGTGAACCAGAGCACACCAATACTGTCCATGGCGTTTTCTTGGCAAAGATACTAGAGTGGTTTCCTTCTCCAGGAGATGAAGGCAAACAGAAATTAGTTGACTTGTCCAGGGCCACACAGAAACGTATGAGACCAGATATGAGTTCAAGTCTTACTGACTCCAGGCCCAGCAGGGAAACTGCATTTTTCCAAAAGGTATCATAGATGATGAAGTGATATCAATACTAAACCTATATGCAACAAATGGTATAGCATTCAATTCTTTTTTTAAATAATTTTTAATTTTTATTTTTAAATATAAATTTATTTATTTTTAGTTTTCAACATTTACTTCCACAAGATTTTGAGTTCCAAATTTTCACCCCATCTTGCCCCTCCCCCCACCCCAAGATGGCATGCATTCTGAATATCCCTTCCCCTAGTCTGCCCTCTCTTCTATCTCTCCCCCTCCCATCTCTCATCCCCTTCCCCTTCTATTTTCCTGAAGGGCAGGATAGACTTCTGTACCCCATGTGAAAACATTTTTTTAAACATATTTTTAAAACTTTGGGTTCCAAATTTTTTCCCTTTCTCCCTCCCCACCCACCCTCATTGAAAAGGCAAGCAACTCAATATAGGTTATACATGTACAGTTATGCAAAACACTTCCATAGTAGACATGTTGTGAAAAACTAACTCTATTTCCCTTAATCCTATCCTGCCCCCCATTTATTATATTCTTTCTTTTGACCCTGTCCCTCCTCAGAAGTATTTGCTTCTGATTACCCCCTTTCCCAATCTGCCCTCCTCTCTATCATCCCCTTGCTCTCTTGTCCCTTTCCCCCCCTATTTTCCTGTAGGGTAAGACAGATTTCTATACCCAACTGAATGTGTATGTTATTCCCTCCTTAAGCCAAATCCCATGAGAATAAGATTCCCTCATTACCTGTCACCTTCCCCCGTTTCCCTCCACTGTAAGAGCCTTTTCTTTTGTGGTTGTTTTTTTTTTTCTGAGATAATTTACCCCACTCTACCTCTCCCTTTCTTCTTCTCCAAATATAATCCTCTCTCATCCCTTAATTTTATTCTCCAGATATGATCCCTTAATCTTCAACTCACCCTGTGTTCCCTATCTATCTATCTATCTATCTATCTATCTCTATATATATATACATATATATAATTTTCCCCGTCCAACTACCCTAATACTGACAAAGGTCTCATGAGTTATAAATATAATCTTTCCATGCAGGAATGTAAACAGTTCAACCTTAATAAGTCTCTTATGTTTTCTCTTTCCTGTTTACCTCTTCATATTCCACTTGAGTCTTGTATTTGAAAGTCAAATTTTTTATTCAGCTCTGGTCTTTTCATCAAGAATGCTTGAAAGTCGTCTATTTCACTGAATGACCATTTTTTCCCCTGAAGGATTATACTCAGTTTTGCTGGGTAGGTGATTGTTGGCTGTAATCCTATCTTCTTTGCCCTCCAGAATATTATTTTCCATGCCCTGCAGTCCTTTAATGTAGAAGCTGCTAAATCTTGTGTTATCCTGATTGTGTTTCCACAATGCTTCAATTGTTTCTTTCTGGCACCTTGTAATATTTTCTCCTTGACCTGGGAACTCTGGAATTTGGCTATAATATTCCTAGGAGTTTTCCTTTGGGGATCTCTTTCGGGAGGAGATTGGTGGATTCTTTCAATTTCTGTATTGCCCTCTGGCTCTAAAATATCAGGGCAGTTTTCCTTGAGAATTTCTTGAAAGGTGATGTCTAGGCTCTTGTTTTGATCATGGCTTTCAGATAGTCCAATAATTTTTAAATTCTCTTTCCTGGATCTATTTTCCAGGTCAGTTGTTTTTCCAATGAGATATTTCACATTGTCTTCTATTTTTTTCATTCTTTTGGATTTGTTTTACAGTGTCTTGATTTCTCATAAAGTCACTAGCTTCCAATTGCTTTATTCTAATTTTTAAGGAAGTATTTTCTTCAGTAATCTTTTGGACTTCCTTTTCCATTTGGCCAATTTTGCTTTTTAGGGCATTCTTCTCCTCATTGGCTTTTTGGACCTCTTTTGCCATTTGGGTTAGGCTATTTTTTAAGGTGTTATTTTCTTCAGTATTTTTTCGGTCTCCTTTAGCAAGCTGTTGACTTGTTTTTCATGATCTTCTTGCATCATTCTCATTTCTCTTCCCAGTTTTTCCTCTACTTCTCTAACTTGCTTCTCAAAATCCCTTTTGAGCTCTTCCAAGGCCTGGGACTGATTCATATTTTTCTTGGAGGCTTTGGATGTAGGAGCTTTGACTTTGTTGTCTTTTTCTGGTTGTATGTTTTGATCTCCTTTGTCACCAAAGTAAGATAATATAGTCTGACTCTTTTTGTGCTGCTTGCTCATGATCCTGGCCAATTACTTGAGTTTTAAAATCTTTGTTAAGGTAAGAGTCTGCTTCCAATGTGGAGAATGTACTGTCCCAAGCTTCAGGGGTTTGTACAGCTTTTTTCAGAGATACTTGTAGGGACCTGTAAATTTTCAGTTCTTGCAAGGTGGTATGATAAGGGGTGAGGTGTTTACTCCTTTCCTGGCCCATGCTCTGGTGTATTAGTGAGTACAAGAACTCCTTTCTGCCCTGGAACTGTGAGGAGGGTTTGCTCTTCACAGCCACTGCAAGCTCTACCCATGCCAGTGCTCCTCACCCCGGGACCACTGCCCAGAACTGTGACCCAGATCCAAGCACGGGCAAAGCAAGAGATTCCCGCCTTAGCACTGGCAAAGTGATCCTTGCAGTACCCCTCTGATCAGTCACTCGATTCCCCCTCAGTCTGTGGGCCAGAAGCTCAGGACGCAGCCACCGCTCCAGCACCGTGCTCTATGCTCTGGAACTGGCTTTGAAACCTAGCTCCTCTTTCACTGCAGAAACAGACTTTTCCCACTGACTTTCTAAGTTGTCTTTGGCGTTGATGGGTGGGGAGTCTGGAAT